TGTTGACTTGTGTGTGTGGAATGGTGGTTAATTTTTCTCTTTACTTAATTATTAAGTTGTTTCATAGTCTCAATTTGATTTAAAACATTTGTCAAAAACGTAATATAACAATTTATTTTCTGTTTTTCTTCTTTTAAGATAATTTAAAAAAATTTTTTACTTCTTTTTTAAAATTTTTACATTCGTTTGTACGTCCAAAATGATGGTGTCTATTATATTAGAAACGTCTCTTTTGAAAGATTGACTTGTATTCAAAGAGAATAATGAAATAAAAATCAAAAAGTGGGCAACGATCATTAAAGAAGGTGTTTCCCTTCTTTTGATTTCTTTTGTTAAAAGAATTTTTTTTTTCATTTTTGGAATTTTTTTTTAGGGGCAACACTTTAATTAAAAAAAAATTTTATTTATTTTCATCTATGGGAATATTTTTAATTTTAGTTTTTCGGTTTTTAAGAGGCACATAAAATATGTGCACCTTTGTAAGATCAAAAAACAATTGAAGTAAAAGGAGTAATAAAACAATAAAGTTGGGTCAAACCAATGGTTTGTATTGTAGCACTTTTCCCTTAAACAAGTGAAAATACTGCTTTTAAAAACAGTCTATGTATATCCACCATATCTATTAAAATTATTTTCATTTATAAACGAAACTATTTCTAGGATTGCATATATTTAGGATGAACCATTTATGCAGTCTTTGAAATAAAGCAAAATTTAATATAAACAGGGGTTAACATAATGCTCGATTTTAAGGGTTAATTGTGTGAGTTAAGAAAAATAATTATATTTTTTAATTTCATGGAATTTACTGTTAACTTTTTGCGTTTATAGAAATTTGAAAAAACTTGCGGTTTCAGAAATATAAGGTGTCAAAAATGCATATTTCACAAATTTCAAGAGGCCATAACTTGAGAGGGGGTGGAGATGGAAAAAAATTTTCTTCTAAAGAAATGAACTACTTGTTAATATCTAAAAGCTCCTAAAATTTCAAGCTTCTACAGGCTGGGGTCTAGAAGAAAAACGACATGAAAAATTTGGAAAAAAAGGACTTTAGATAACGGTAAATTTGAACGGCCATTTTGTTTTTCTAAAGTTTAACTATAGTATACCACGGTAGGGGAAGCACGCCGCTGCCTTTCTGCGTTTGCAAAATTTCAAAAATGCTTATGGTTTCATTGCAACAAATAGTTAAAGTAGGTAATTTTTAGTGCTTTGGGGGGGTATAACTTCTAGAGGGGGGGAGATAGGTAAAAATTTTGTTCTACGAAAATAAGTTTCTAGTAAAGATCTATGTACGTATTAAATTTCAGCTTTCTATCTTTAAGAATGTAGAAGTTTTGTAAACAGACACACGGACAGACGGACGGACGGACGGACGGACGGACGGACGGACGGACGGACGGACGGACGGACGGACGGACGGACGGACGGACAGAGTGAAACTAATAAGCACTTTTTTTCAAAAAATTTTTGGAAAAGTGCTAAAAAGTACTCAAAACTAATAGGAGGCGAGTGAGACAGCCTACAATGTGATATAGTGTATAGGACTTTAGAGATTATATAGAATTTTTCATCTTTATACCATTTATTTAATTCATCATTTGATTTTAAATGATTATGTCATAACACATAAGTTCGTTTAGAAACTTTTTCCCTCTTTGTAGTAAAAAAGACAGAAAAGTAAATCCAGTTCCTCCTTAAAACCATATAATCGGGTTCCGTGTATGCTTAATTTTCCAAAAATTGTATCATTTGGACATTCTCCCCTTTTTTTTAAGTACTATTTTCCAAATTTAAGAATTCAAAAAAACTTCGGCCGAATTAAAAGATTAAGTACTCATTAAGCGACATCTAGTGTAAGAAATATTATTTTTTGTCCGTAATCGAATGATATTCATTATTGCAGAAGTAGTCAACTAAACATGAATTACAAATTTATAAATTATTTAGTTATTAACACTAATACAATTAATTACATTTAAAACAAGGTCGCATTTTCAGCTAACTTCCGAATTATGACATATTCCCCGTTTAACTAACTACTCTGAAATCAATCAACTACATATTCAATTACTATAAATTATACAGAAACAATGGTAGGAGCGTGATTTCAAACCTATCTTATCACGCCAAAAATTTTACACTTATTCATTTTTGATGCCTTTCGGAATAACTCCGAATTTCGGAATCGTATCAAATTTATTCCGATTACATAGGAATATCTTTCAAATTTTAAATTTTGAAATTAAAAAATATTAATTTCATGATCGAATTCTTAAAAAATTGTCAAAAAAAAAATCCGAATTTATTCCAATAATTTGCTGAGTCATGAAAACAAAATCAAGAACTTCATTTGTCTCATATTAACTAAATTCTTGTGAACAAAACAAAAATAAAATTTGTGCATGTATTTGCGAAGTGTTTTTGCTATATAGAAACTCATTTAAATACACACAAAGCCATATTTTTTTTTTATATTTTCGTTTTGTTTTTTCTGGCTTCCGGTCTTCTGGTCGGTAAAAAATAAATATATTCTAAATTTTTGCATTCATATTCTCTTCAAGCATTTTAACTAGTTACCTATACCAGTGATCCCCGCCTGTCTTATTTCGTAATTTGCTTTTTTTTGTCTTTCTTTCCATGCATACAAAATTTTTTTAGTAAGTACTTAAGAAAATAATGGACATAGAAAAAGTATTACCGGCACAAAAACAAAATTACCACTTCTTCAACATGGAGAAAACAAAAAAAAAAACTCTTTAACAAACCTGACCAGACTACTAAACATGGACAACAAGCAAATTAAAAATTAATTTTAAAAAATAAATTATAAATTTTTTGCATCATTTTTTTGTTCGTTTATCTTTAAATCACAATTGTGCTCATAATTTTTACAACTAATTATACGTGTTGCGGATGATAATCGGTCCATGCAAGTGAGGTGGGATCTGTGAAAGAATTTTTTATTTTAAGAATAAAAACAAAAATTATGAATAAAAAATCAGAAATATCAGCACATTACACTTGATAGTTATAGCAGAAATAGTAATGCGGGTAACAAAAACAAGAAGAAAAGAAGAAAAACAAAAATTGTGTTTTTGAAAAGGAATCCAAGGATTTTTTGTTCTATTTTTTTCAATTTGTTTTCTCCTTGTTTTCTTGTTTTGTTTAACATTCTGCAGCAGGATGTTATACTCTGAACAGTAGCCAATGTTGTGTTATTCAAAAATGTTTTTGTTTTTTTGTTTTGTTCTCTTTGTTTTTCGCAATTTTATTGGCTTCTGTAAAGGTACGTGTAACAAAGATCTACAAACAAATACAACTGGACTATGGGATGATTATAAGAATGTGAAAAAAAAAGGTTTCAAAATGATTTATTATCCAACAGGTATAATTTTTACTTGATATGATACGAGTATAAAGAGATTTTTTTTACCTTTTTTGCTTATATATTAGAGAAGATTGATTTAAGGTCCTGATTTATGTACTTAACTACAAAGAGGAAGAAAAAAACTTCTATTCAAAAGTCGATTTAGGTATTTTTGTTGTAATTTTCTCTCTTGCGAGACGACACACGATAACTAATTGAACTTTTTTATGAATTTTCTTTTTTTTAGCATTCAATAAAATTTTGTAATTTAATCAAAACAATTTTAGTTTTAAATGAGTGTTCGAAAAAACAAAATTAAATCTAAACTACATAGAGAAATTTCAAGGTCGCACCTGAATGGGGATGTTAACTATAATATGTAAGTGTATGTATGTATGTAAAAATTGAAAAAAAAATTTAAAACGTGATTAATTTTTAATTTTTATTTAAAAATATAAGTAATAGTTAAATTAATTGACCATTAATTTTATTTTAGGTATTCATAAACTTAGAAAACTAATGAATAGGATTAAACAGGACAATGGGAATTGTATTTTTCTGTATTAATTTCACTAAACACTATTATGACAATAGAGTTTTGAAAATATCTGCACGATTAATGAAATGATCTCAGTACTTCAATATAAACGCATCGAAATATTTTTCGAATTCAGCCTACATACAGGACAAGTACAGGAGTTTTCAGTACACAGTTTAGAACAAGAAGCATAAAATTTAGTGTTAATTTAAATACTTAATTTAAGTAATTTTAGTGTTGTTAAAACCTTAGTTTAAAAATATCTATTGTAAAACATTTAGGCCTATTTAAACATTATATCAAATGGTTTGTTAGATTTACATATTTAGGTCATTTCAAAATTTAAGGACAGAGTAATAAAAAGTGTGAAAAATATTTATTATGTACACGTGCATAACAAATGTTGTTATTCTCGTACAGTCTTTCATAAGCAATAAAATACATAGTTTAGATAACAATGTTTTTGTATTTGAATGAGATAAAATTTAAAACTATTTTGTAACCTAAATAAACAATTAGGAATTTTTACTAATCTAAATTTAGCATAATTATAAACACAAGACAATTTTTATTTGTAAAGAATACAAGATAACACAATTTCTTTTTGTTTAACTACATAAGGATATCTCCTTATGTTCAATACTTATGTAAATAAATAATTATTTAAAACCAAAATTAAATTAGAGTAGGGATAGATTTTAGTTATAAGTTTTTTTATAAAAAGGAAGAACTTTAAAAATAAAGAGGAATCTTCCTCTGATGATCAAGAATAACAAATCTTTTTATTCAGACAGATAATATATGAATCAATAAACTTAGGTTTCCTAGTTTACCCTGTTTCATACATTAATTCAAGACTTTTAATTAAGACATTACACAGAGGGTATACGAATCATTGAACTAGTGTTTCCTAGCTTCACCCTGTTTCATATACCACTTGAGACTAAAAAGTAAGAAAAGGGTCTAATAAAGTACCACTCATTCTGAAAGGTACATAGTCCTGAACAGTGGTGACCCCGACGTGATCTCATCAGAAGAGGTTCTCAATATCAAGTAATTCGCAAACAAAAACACACAACAGAAGTTAAGAAAATGGATCAACTAGTAAAGAAACAAGTTGACATAAAAAAAGCTATACAGTCTCTGAAGTTGGAATACGATCGACTTGCAGAGGAAAGGAAGACATCCAAGTTGGTTAGAGAAAAACAAACGAAATTAGACAAATTGTGGCAGGAATTTGAGATGAATGATGAATCAATCAGAACAAAACACGGAAAAGAAATAGATCATGATTACTTCACCAAAGATCTATACAACGTCTTAGAAAAAGAGTATATGAAAATAAAAGAACAACTGCTTCAAAAAATTGAAAATCTTGAGGCATTATCATTAAAAGTTGATGTAGCAAACAATGAGCCGAAAGAGAACAGAACAAGAGACGAAGTCTTGGATATAGAAGAGGATATATCGGAAGACTTGAAAATCGTCATTAAAAAGTGTCAGAGAAGCAAATTCGCGTTAAACAAGTTATTAAACGAAATAACAATTAATAACCAATCAAAACCCTATTATGAGATGAAAATCCAACAAATTCAAAGCAAACTGAAGGTTTACCAAGATAAAGATTCAGATGTATGTAGCAGGATTGACGTTCCTGAAAGATTAGGGTATGATCCTGATGAATTTTTTGCAGATGAGAATGAAGCCATGAATCTTATTCAAAATCTGAGAGAGCAATTAGACAAGATGAAGATGACGGAGCAAACTGAGAAACCTTTAGATAACATAAAAGGAAAATTACCTGCCATCACACTTCCAAAATTTGATGGAGAATACACAAAGTGGATACAGTTCAGAGACTTATTCACACAAATTATAGACGTGCAAGCAATTCCACAAGTAGAAAAAATGTGGTATCTTAAGACAAATCTAATAGGTGAAGCAGAGAAGTTAATTAGACATCTACCTATTTCTGACCAAAACTACAATATAGCATGGAAGATATTGACTGAAAGATATGATAATAAACGTTTATTAGTATCAAGTATCATTGACAAATTTTTAAATCAACCAAGTTTAACTCCTGGTTCATCGAAATCAATCAAACAGATGTTCGACACAACAAATGAATGTGTTCTTTCATTAGAGAATTCGGGATTTAATGTTGTCGGCAGCTGGGATCCTATATTACTACAAATCATTTACAAAAAACTAGACAGAGAGACATATTCATTGTATGAGCTATCATTGAAGCAACCGAAAGAAATTCAATCATTGGAAAAGTTCCTAAACTTCATCGAAAAGAGATTTCAATCGCTCGAGGCCTTTGGAAATAAGCAAATTCAATCAAGTACTTCAAGAATAAAATCAATTCCTAATTACCAGGCAGCTACATTTTCAGCAAGTAGTTCAATTAAATGTGCCGTGTGTAATAACGGGCATTTCATATTCAGTTGTCCAGAGCTAATAAAGATGACGACACAGAACAGAGAAGCAAAGATCAGGGCATTAAAATTATGTATAAATTGTTTGCGGCCTGGTCATATTCAAAAATCGTGCGTATCAAGAAAATGCAAAAAGTGTAACCAAAGGCATCATACATTGTTGCATCAGGAGAAAGAAACTTCTTCAAAAAGTAATCAACCAGTCAATGAAAAAAGAGATGTAACAGCTAGTGTTCATATGGGATCAAATAAAAATGAAGCAGAGAGCTATGTGTTCTTAGGAACAGCTTTGGTCACGGTACGTGGACCAAACAAGAGAACGATAGATTGCCGTGTTTTAATGGATTCAGGTTCTCAATTAAACTTCATCTCAGAAAGATTACAAAAGCAGTTAAAATTGGACACACGAAGTGTTGAAATTGACATTAATGGAATTGGTAATGTTGGTTTCATTCCTACAACTGATAGAGTCAACGTAACTATTGAATCAAAAGTAAGAGATTTTAATATAAATATTGATGCTCAAGTCATCAAAGAGATCACCAAGTGTCAACCTCAAAGACTGATCAACATCGACTCTTGGAATATTCCAGAAAATCTCACGTTATCTGATCCTAATTTTAACAAACCACAACGTATTGATATGTTATTAGGAGCAGAGGTATATGGTGACTTAATAAGATCAGGAAAAGTTAAATTAAAAGATAATCTGCCAACATTGCATGAAACTGTATTCGGGTGGATGATCCTCGGAAAAGCATCAAATAAAGAAAGCTACACAGCATTAACAACAACAAATTTATCAAATCAGCAATTATCAAATGAATTAGAGAAGTTTTGGGAATGTGAAGAAATACTAGAACACAAACCTCTCAGCAAAGTGGAGATGGAATGCGAAGAATTCTTCAAGGTAAAACATAAACGAGATAAATCTGGGAGATTTATAGTCAAGTTACCTATATTGAGCTGTCCGAATTTACTTGGAGAATCAAAACACATCGCTTTTCGAAGATTCCTGAATCTTGAAAGAAAATTATCTAAAGATGCAATTTTAAAAAGTGAATATACAAGTTTTTTAAGAGAATACTTGGAATTGGGTCATATGACAGAAATAGAATTGGAAGATATACCACGTACACACTATTTTATGCCGCACCACGGGGTTATTCGTGAATCAAGCAGCTCAACAAAACTAAGAGTGGTTTTCGATGCGTCATGTAAAACTACATCCGGAGTATCGTTAAATGACATCATGATGAAAGGACCAAAAGTTCAGAGTGATCTGTTCAACATTCTATTAAGATTTAGAATGTATAAATATGTCGTTACAGCAGACATCAAGCAAATGTATCGACAAATAATGGTAGCAGACGAAGATAGAAAATTGCAGATGATCATGTGGCGTTCGAAACCCCAAAATAAAATTAAGTATTATCAATTGAACACAGTCACATATGGTACAAGATCGGCACCTTATTTAGCTACAAGATGTTTAACACAATTATCAATCGATGAAAAATTGAGATATCCTGTAGCAGCGAAAGCTGTCAGAGACTTCTATGTAGATGACATTATTTCTGGCAGTGACACTATGACTGGTACGATTGAATTAAAAAGACAATTAATTAAAATGTTACAATCAGCCCAATTAAAATTACATAAATGGGGATGTAATGATCCACGATTATTATCAGATATACCAGAAGCAGACAGGGAAAAGGAGAAGGTGTTTAAAAATGATAATGAAGGTTATATCAAAACTCTTGGTTTATGTTGGCAACCTTCACAAGATGTCTTTTCTTTTATCACAGCATGGCCAGATATAGATGAAAAAGTTACAAAGAGAAAAATAATATCAGAGGTTTCTCGACTATTTGATCCTCTAGGTTTAGTAAACCCTGTCATAGTTGTTGTAAAAATATTCATTCAGAAACTTTGGAAATTGAAACATGATTGGGATGATGAACTAGAAAATAATTTAAAAACTGAATGGATAGAGTTTCGTCAAGATTTAAGTAACTTTACTAGTGTAAAAATCTCACGTTATATGTTCATCAGCCAAAAAGAGGTTTCGAGGACAGAGTTGCATGTTTTCAGCGATGCCAGTGAACGAGCATTTGGAGCAGCGGCATATATAAGATCCATAGATAGCGACAACAATATTAAATGCAAACTACTATGTTCAAAATCAAAAGTAGCACCAATTAAATTCATAACACTTCCAAGATTGGAACTTTGTGCTGCCCATTTAGCGTCAAAACTTATGTCAAAGGTTCAGCAGAGTCTAAACTACAAATTTGATGAAATGTATCTATGGAGTGATTCACAGATAGTACTATCTTGGATCAATGGTGATCCTTCTGTTTTAAAAACCTTTGTAGCTCATCGGGTATCCTTAATACATAAAACATCATCAGCAGGACAATGGAATTATGTGAACACCAAAAGTAATCCTGCTGATTTGCTCTCTAGAGGAATGTCGCCAGATAAGCTTAACAGTTCAGAACTTTGGTTTCTGGGTCCACCATTTCTAAAATTACCAGAACATGAGTGGCCGGATAGAAGAGTAAATCATATGAGGCTTCAAGAAGAAGAAAAGAAAACTTCTTTAGTTTTGAATTGTGACGAAATAAGAACAAATCATCCTCTTCATGAAATTAATCACCGTAATTCATTTGCATATTTACTCAGAGTTATGGCATACATCTTAAGATTTATTAATAAAACTAAGAAAAATAATAATGATCAACTCAACGACACCTCTTTATCAACCACAGAAATTAACCAAGCAATGAATGAAATAATAAAAGAAATCCAACGAATACATTTTTCAACAGAAATACGACAATTGGAGAAAGAATTCTCAGTACCAAAACATAGCAAAATAGTTTCATTATCACCATTTTTGGATTTAAAAGGTATCCTTAGGGTTGGCGGAAGATTAGACAACGCAGACATCTCTTACAATGCCAAGTATCCTATACTACTTCCAGGTACAGATTTCGTATCGAAATTACTTATGATACATTTACACGAAAAGAATTTACATGCCGGACCATTAGCATTACTTTCAATTTCCAGGCAGAAATTTTGGATAATAAATGGCAGAGCATTGGCAAGAACAACGGTGAATAATTGTGTCAACTGTGCAAAAGCCCAGCCTCAGTTACTACAACAATTGATGGGAAGCCTACCAGCAGAAAGAGTCTTACCGGCAAGAGCATTTTTAAATACTGGTGTTGATTTCTGTGGTCCTATATGGACACACTATCATGTTAGAGGGAAAAGACCTCATAAATCTTATATAGCCGTATTCTGCTGCTTTACTACAAAGGCAATCCATTTAGAAGCAGTATCAGATCTTACAACAGAAGCATTCTTAGGCGCACTCAAAAGGTTCATTGGAAGAAGAGGAGTATGCAAAAATATTTTCTGCGACAATGCAACTAATTTTGTGGGTGCAAAAAACAAGTTGGAAGAAGTTAAAAAGATATTTGAACAACAGGAAAATAAAGAAAAAATAATAAAAACTTGCAGTAACAACGGCATCCAGTTTAACTTTTCTCCCCCACGTTCTCCTCATTTTGGTGGTCTGTGGGAAGCTGCTGTTAAATCAACGAAGAAATTATTACGACAAACATTAAAATCCGCATCATTGACATATGAAGAATTATCTACTGTGTTAGCAGAAGCTGAAGCAGTCTTGAATTCAAGACCACTTACTCCACTATCTTCCAGTCCAAATGATTATTGTGCTCTTACACCAGGGCATTTTTTGATAGGGGAACCGTTGACAGCAATCCCAGAAACAGAACAAAATGATAAAAAATTAACATTATTATCAAGATGGAAGTTGGTTTCAGCCATTCGTCAGGAATTTTGGAAAAGATGGAACAAAGAATATTTAACACAATTGCAACAAAGATACCAATGGAACAAATCTTCTAAGAACATTAGTAAAGAAATGATGGTTATTATAAAAGATGAAAATCATCCTCCTTTAAAGTGGCGTATGGGAAGAATAGAAGACGTCTGCAAAGGTCCAGATGGATTCGTTAGAGTAGTCAAAGTCAGAACGGCGAATGGAATTTTAGAACGTGCTATACATAACTTAGCTCCATTGCCAATAGAGACAGATAATGAAAATACTTCAGCAGTTAATGGTACATCAGCAAAAAGAACTGCTGAAAAAAGGCATAACACTTCACCAAAAAGAATTAGATACGATCAACCTTTCAGTGCATCTATGTTCCTTTTCATAACAATCTTATTCCTTCCCTTGTTAGCGATGTGTCAAAATATTTCAACTCCATTTCGAATTACGAAAATGAATCACAATGCGGGAATTTATTTGAATCATATAGGAACCAGCCATTTGATTGAAACTGATTGGAAAATTATTATATACTATAATCTCTCTAATTATTGGCAAACATATTTATTAATAAATCAAGGAATTGAAAAAATGAAAAAATTATCAGAAGGTACTGTCGATCATCGTTACACAAGTCTGCTGACCCAGAAATTTGAGCATCAATTACATGAGATAAATGAAACAAATCAATTGTTATTTTCAAGACAGTCATTCTCTAACAAGAAAAAGCGAGGTCTTTTAAATATAGTAGGGAATGTAGCGAATGTATTGTTTGGAGTATTAGATGATGAGTATGCGAAGAACATTGAAGGCACTATAGAAGCTGTAAAACATGATCATGATCATTTACTACAATTGATGAAAGAACAAACCTCTGTCATTGAAGCTACTAATCATTTAATAAAAGAATCTCACGAACAATCGTTAATCAATTTCAAAAGAATGCAAACAGAATTAAATGGCGTAATTATGAACGTGAACCAAATAACCAGCTACATGCAAAAATATAACTTAACACAATCAGTATTATTCTTCTCTCAATATCTTCATGTAACAATAAACGAATTCCGAAGAATGCAAAATAAAATGGTTGACATTATCACAGATCTACATGAAGGGAGAGTCAACCCATTAATACTAGCACCAAAACAACTATCAGAGCATTTAGAATTCTTAAGGCCACAACTTGAATCAAATATAATGTTACCAAAACTGGCAGAAATATATGGTTTAAGTTCTGCAAAATGTAAAATTAACAACAAATATGCAGTTTTCAGTTTGAAAGTACCATTATTATCAATATCAGAATATGATGTTCTACATTTAGTACCATTTCCAGTGAAATTAAATAACGTATACATGAGAATAGAACCTACAACAGAATATATAATCATTAACAAACATAGAGACATCATTTATACATTGTCAAGAGTAGACTTCAAAGCTTGTATTTATACAGAAAATAAAAATTTTATCTGTCGCAGAGAAAGACCGTTTTTCACAAAAAATGCTCAAAATCTTCAATGTGAGTTCTCAATAATAAGACATCAAACTATTTCAAAACAATGTCAAATGAAAATATATAGTCCATCAAAAACATGGATCCAATTATATCAGCCGAACACGTGGTTGTTTTCATTAAATAATGCAAATGTTTATAACAGGGATGGGGAACCTTTTCTCTATATAAGGCCAAATTTTAGTCAATGCAAAGTCAATCAGGCCGCAAAGTTTAAAAAAAGTCCAAAGGTTATAAATTTTTGCTTTGTGTAGGTTGATGAAAACAAAATTATGTCAGAATATAAAAAATAACATAAAACAGTTTATTTCATAAATAAAAATAGATAAGTAAGTATGTACATTATTAATAAAATAATATGGTTCATTATTTCAATGACTTTTCTGTGATTGTTTGTTGCTCGATAACAATTTTATATTTGGTTCCAGCCTCGTTTGGCAGCAAAATTTTAACTTTTAAGAAATATAAGAAATAAATTTTTTTAAGGACAAAGGCCACTAAAAAACAGTTAAAAGGCCGCATGCGGCCTTAAGGCCGCAGGTTCCCCATGCCTGGTTTATAATTTGGTTTGTAACGATCAGACATACCAAATCAACTTATACGGATGTGGAATATTATCATTATATGATGATTGCATATTGAAGGAGTACGAGCTAACTATACAATCATACAAATCAAAAACAATAGAAATTGAAATGTGTAATCATCCAATATTAGAATTACCAGATGAAATGAATTTGACAATCTCCAGCTTAAACTTATTAAAATTATACAATCAAAGTGGAAAGAATTTTGAAGCAGAATATACAAAAATTGAGGACAGGTTAAATATTCTAATAATGAACGAGAACACAGAGAGCAGTACACTATATCATCATATACATCATTACATTACGAGTTATATTGCTTTAACGCTGACTACTATTGTAATAATTATCCTCATAAGAAATTCTTATAAGAAAAGTTCAACACGTAACAACAGTACAATTCCAACAATCCAATTCACCGAGCAAGATTTCCAAGTTTAATGCATGATGCATTAATGCCGGGGAGGCTGTTAAAACCTTAGTTTAAAAATATCTATTGTAAAACATTTAGGCCTATTTAAACATTATATCAAATGGTTTGTTAGATTTACATATTTAGGTCATTTCAAAATTTAAGGACAGAGTAATAAAAAGTGTGAAAAATATTTATTATGTACACGTGCATAACAAATGTTGTTATTCTCGTACAGTCTTTCATAAGCAATAAAATACATACATAGTTTAGATAACAATGTTTTTGTATTTGAATGAGATAAAATTTAAAACTATTTTGTAACCTAAATAAACAATTAGGAATTTTTACTAATCTAAATTTAGCATAATTATAAACACAAGACAATTTTTATTTGTAAAGAATACAAGATAACACAATTTCTTTTTGTTTAACTACATAAGGATATCTCCTTATGTTCAATACTTATGTAAATAAATAATTATTTAAAACCAAAATTAAATTAGAGTAGGGATAGATTTTAGTTATAAGTTTTTTTATAAAAAGGAAGAACTTTAAAAATAAAGAGGAATCTTCCTCTGATGATCAAGAATAACAAATCTTTTTATTCAGACAGATAATATATGAATCAATAAACTTAGGTTTCCTAGTTTACCCTGTTTCATACATTAATTCAAGACTTTTAATTAAGACATTACACAGAGGGTATACGAATCATTGAACTAGTGTTTCCTAGCTTCACCCTGTTTCATATACCACTTGAGACTAAAAAGTAAGAAAAGGGTCTAATAAAGTACCACTCATTCTGAAAGGTACATAGTCCTGAACAAGTGTTAATTAAGAATTCAGAACTTACAATTCATGAGTAGTATTAAAATTTTTTATATTGTATTGCAATTTTGAAAGAAGAGTGATAAATCCATTCTTGCAATGGTAATTCCAAATGCATAAAACCCTTAATTCTCTATAAATTTTTTTTGTAAAATTACATAAACCTATTCTTAAAATAATTTGATTTTATTTTACTGCGTTCTATTTTGCATTTACTAATTCCATTTACATTCCATTTTTTTTTAATTTTAACCGCTTTTAATAAAATATTGTAATCGATTACTATCAGAAAAAGTTATTTTAGTTACAAAAAAATAAAAACGCCTGTAATCGCTGAATAAAGTATTAAAAAAAAAGCTTATCTTTATTTTTCGCTTTAATATTTTCCCCTATTCATTCGTATTCTAAAAGCTACTTTTGTTTAAATTTTAAAAATAAAAATTTGCTACTTGCTTATAGATGTCGCATTCATTTTGTGACTATCTAATATTATAAAATAATTTCTCTAACAAATTTAATGGTTCGTGACTTTGATATAACAATATTTATTTCTTCTATCCGAGTTCACAACATAAATACAGTACTAAAATAAAAGGCAAAAAAATATTACGAAACCAGGAATATCAAAATACCGTAAAGATTTTTTTTGGATAAACCGCAACTTATTTGAATTTTCTTTTAGCTACAAATATTTCTTCAAGTATACCTAGGTGCATATACGTTTTCTCAAGGTAGAAAAATATTTGTACCCACAAATCTGAATCCAATTTCATTTAAAAAGCTCTTTTATTCCGAATTTAATTCAAATATATTAAGTTCTAAATTTGAAAATATTTTGATACCTTTATATATTTTAAATTTGAAAAAGTAGGATAGAGAAGACAGAACTTGGAGAATTACTGAAAAGTGCAATTTTTTCAGCGTTATATATAGGCTATCCTTAATACTCTTGAGTACTATACTGCAGTAATACGTGTATTTAAATCTAACTCATTTCATATTTAGAAATTTCCGAGTTTTCAGTAATAACCATTTTCTAGCTTAAATCTATTAAATTTAATAAAAATATTTTTTTTTTTTAAGTAATTTTATTAAAAAAATTTGAAAAAAAAATTAAATTTTTCAACAATTTTTTCAATATTTAATAAAATACCCTCTAATTTTTTCAATAAAAAGAGACAGAGAAGTATCAAATTGTAAACTTCATTAATCAAACTTTGATGTATATGCTTTGTAATGTATGTGTATACTTTGTATTATATCAATAAGTACTTTAATTTTGAAGCTATAACTCAGTATGGCATAAAAATTTACTAAAACAATAAATTATCAAGAAATTTTGAATAAGTATCCTTAAAATCAAATAAATAATATTTTTCACTCACATTTTTCTTCTTTACCAACTATATAAATAACTTACTTATACATATTATACCCTATAAATAAAAATTAAATTATTATTAATTAAAGAAATTATAAATGTTCGCCTTAAATGATTAATTCTCTTCTTATATACTTATGAGCATATACCTGGCATAGAAAAAAAAATTATTTACTTCAAATTAATTAATATAATTAGTATATTATAAGTATGGCATATAGGTAGACCTATACGTCTAAACCCAAATAATTATCATTTATTGCCATTAATTTAATTACCAAAAAATAATTTTCATATATAAGACATTAAGAAACCTATACCTAAACTAATTTTACTTACTTAATATTTTTGAAACGAAATCATTCCATTATTTTTCTTACGTTTTCAACATTATTTACTACTTTAATGAAGCGATTTATATTTAGGTCAAATCAAAGAAATACCAAAAAAAAAAAAATAATATTAGAAAATTAGCTTTTTTTTTTATATCAAGATATTCTTGCTTTTCACAGGAAAATTTAGTAAGGAAAAATTGTTTCCAAAATATTTCATTCTACATTCATTGATGTAGTGTTGTACATATTATTACTCTTAAAATAAGTAGAAGAAGAGCTTCTTATAAATAAAGAATTCAAGTTACATGAAATGTTAATATAATTTCGCATATTATACACTTACTTACGTACATATGTACGTACAAGCATAATAAGTGTATGTTGAGTATATTTTCATTGCTTCTTTTTTGTTTTTACAAAATATCTTGTTTTTCTTCTTCTTCTTCTTCTTATAATAATATTGTCAACGTTCAATTAATCTTTAAATTAATATAAATGTTCTTTTGAATTTTTACGAAATTTCCAGAAAATATTATGTTACGCGAGGGAATTTTTTTTTTATATAAGTATAAATATTTATGACCAAAATAAAAATAAAACAAACAATATAAAACAAATAACAAAATCATGCTTCAAATGTATACTAGTAGGCTTACTTTGCGAGGGTGTGAGACCATAAGAGGTTAATAATAAGAGAGAGAATAGAGAAAAAATTATCTTTTGTTTACTAAGAGGTCAAATAGATTAAATAATTATCTGCAGAAATAAATCTTCAAAATGCTCGTCACCATTCTCCTCTTCACTCTCCAAAAATCTTTTTATAATAATTTAATATCTTTTCAGTAATGTTACACAAGATTACATGCTTGTATTGTATGCATGTAGCTTTTATTTTTTTTATGTAAGTTAAGTACCTATTCTTTGTTTAGAAGAAAATTTCATGGAACTTTTGTTTTTATATTTTCTTTCTGTCATCTCTTTGCCTGTCTTCTTATATCTTCTCTCTCTATCTCTCTTTCCTACTTTCTCCTTAAAATAACCATTATAACATAATGCTTTGATTTAATTATTCATACACCAGTTTTACCACACAAACCCCATATTTTAAAACCTACAAAAACGAAATTTTAAAAATTCATTTATTTTTCCCACTGCAAATACAATCAGAAAATAAATAAAAACAAAAAAAAAAAAGAAGAGAACAAAATTTTTATGAACTTTTTAATATAAACAAATTTAAAGGGAAAAAAAAAAACAAAACTTTCCTCTATATAAAATAGAAAAGCAATAATAACAACAAAAGAAAATACAATAAAAATAGCTTCGTGATATAATTATCGTATAAAAATAACAGAAACTACCCAAAAAAACACAACACCACAGCCCTCTTGAGTCCTGACAGTCCTGACAAAAATAAAAAACAGAAAATTAACTTTAAAAAACCAAAAAAAAAACAAGCAAAACCAGAAAAAAAATTAAAGAAGTGTAAAGTTTATCTCAAAAAATTAGAAAAATAAAAAACAGAAAAAATAAGCAGCAAAAGAAAAATCCCACATATCCGGAAGCTTTAAAAAAAA